ATCCGAATACATAGTACTGTAAACCAGGTTAACCAGTTTAAAGTATTTACTCATTTTTTATTTATTAATCTAATAATTTATATTCATAATCACAAATAATGATACATAAATCATATTTAAAGTAACAAGTTACAATGGTTCGGACTAATAAAAAAAATGCTTTGCAAAGATCATTATAAAAAAACTCAAAATAAACTTAATGTGAAGCTTTGTTCAGACAATATAGATGTTAGTGAAATAAAAAAGATAGTTAAAAAATTAATTAAAGAATATAAATCTTTCTTATCATAACAGTTGAATAGAGACGAGATCTTTGCGAAATATTATGAATTAGAAAATTCTAAGCTTAACAAATTAGAAACTCAAATTGAATCACTAATTTCCAAAATTAACTGATTAGAAAATGATAAAAATTTATATCAAACTGAAAACAATAAACTTAAAGAAGAATTACAATGCATTTCCAGCAGATATGACGATAATAAAACAGAGCTTGAAAGATATTATAATATTATTCAAAGAACTAATTATGTATTACAGAAAGTGTTTGGTTCTAATGAAATAGGTAAAATTAAAACTTTTGCAATTCAAATTTATATTTCTCTAATCTTAAATTTATTTATCAGATATTAGGCAATTAGAAGACCTATGTAATGAAATTGGAGAAATTTGTGATAAAGATTTTGTAAGTTGTTATAATATTCAAACTATATCAAATAATATAGGTAAAGAATTTTTTTTAACTAATACTATTATAAATAAACCAAATTCTCTAAATTTAATACATTACTGTAAATTAATAGTATACAATTCATTTGATGATGCTCTTAATGCTTCTGAAGAAAAAATAACTGAGATAGTTGAAAATGGTAGAGAACAATTTCTACCTTTAGTTCGATCACGATGTTTTTATGATGCAAACGAGAAAGAATTTGATACTGATAAATTTAATTTTTAAAATGTTTGTTAATTAACATTGTGTAAAATTATCTCTTTTGAATGAATATAAAATTTTGTAATTTTTGCAAATATTGAATAAAATAAAGTAACCTGAATAAAGTTATTTTTCATGGATTTTTAAAATCTTTTGCTGAGCAATTATTGCTATGTAAAATGAGTTTGCCGACTCCCGAATATTAAGGCAAATATTCTATAGCAAAATAAATGTAAAAAAATACTGTTAAATATGTATGAGATTCAACATGCCCATATGGGCGTTATTTAGAACAATGACCCGAATTAGGCTTAACATAGACCAAAATTCAAAATTATACCCTCAAGTTGATTTTAAAAAATAGCTTTTATTATTTATCTTAGAAAAAAAAAATGGTAATTTATGTAATAATCACTCTTTGAGGGTAAATTTATTATTAAAGATACTCAAGAACAATTTGTTTCTTCAAATTGAATTTTGCCTATGTTTCTTCGAGAGTGACTTTAATATAACTTGTTTCTTCAAATTCGCAATCTTCTGAAACTTTTGGAAATTGTTACTATTTGAAGCGAAAGTTAACTCATTGCATTATGTACTTAACAGTTAACTATTTACTACTTCCATATAGCTTTCTCACAACCAAAATACTTCAATGTTAGTCTATGCGACAGATTATTCAGTTATAATTTGTAATTTCTATTGTTGGAAAATGTTATTCTATGGTTAAAAGAAAAAGAAAAAGAACAGCCCATTGAGCACACGCTCTTGACCGGCCCATAGAGCACACAGTCATAAAATCTAAGAAGCAATTAATCCAGTTTTATGAAATAAAATACATAAACTTCAAATAAAATTTTACTTCTCGAATAATCAATTTAGTTTCTTTATCTGATTTCGTTATTAGAAGCCTAATTTATAATTCATAAAATCATAAAAACAGTAACTTTTAAGGTAATCTTTATTATCAGAATTTTCTTCGATTTTTATACTACAAATAGTAAGACATTACATTAAGTACAATGTGACAATAATTTGCTATTTGTTATAAATTGTCTTTATGTTCTAATAGAAAAAATCACTCATGAAAATTTTAATATATTATATAACCATCTTAATCCAAACGTTAAGTTCTAACCCTAAAGAGCTATTAGAATAATAATTATTTAACACCAACCTATAAAGTGCTGTTAGAATGATTATTTAAAACTAACTATAAAGAGCTTTTAGAATAATTATTTGATTATTTGATGTTCACGCTATACCTGATAATTAGATAAAATTCGCATTGCTGTCCCTACTGATCTACTTTCTAAATCTCGTGTATTAAGACTAGAGTTGCAGGTGAAACTAATCTTCAATGGTGCACCGATGGTGCACCAGGTGAAACTGGTGAAACTGGTGAAATTAATTAGTTTCACCTGCAACTCTAATTAAGACGTAGATTGTTCACTTATATTCTATGGAATATTAGAGAAATCTGCAAATTTGTCTGTCATTACAATTGATTATATATTGTAAACAATAAAAAATGGTTACGTTATTTAATAATGGGTTTAATATCTAGTAATGAATAAAAAAAGGGTCGATTCAAGTACAATAAAATATATATATGTGAAACAAAAGAGCTACTTAAATTTATTACTTTATTAATGTCATTAATAAAATGAATTACATATTATTATCAATGGTATATTACATTTAATTTCATTTATTCTTCAAGAGGTGAAAATCGAAAAATAGCATAACGTAAAGTGCTGACTATGATTTGTATCTAGCTAGGGGTAATTTATGTTATATCTCGAAGAAAATAGCCAGTTGGTATAAAACATTGAAGGCTGGCAAAGTTGTATGAAAAATATAATTATCTATTTTGAAATGAATGTAAGCAATGCAATGCATCTTTTGTAAGTTAATGTATAATAATATTACGTTTCGTATTTGATCTTTGTTGTTTATTTGTTGTCATGTTGAATCGTATTCTCATTAATATTTTGACATTTAAGTCATCTTACTGTTCTTTAGGTATCATTATCATAATTTTTTGAAACCTTTTTCAGGCATATAAACTCTTTTTTACATTTATAGAAGACTTTAATAAATAAATTATTAATTCAAATAATATAAAATGCACCTATGGTATTTAGCACCATATATAATTGCTTTTAATAAAATTTAGGGTTAGGTTACATCTTTATAATTTTTTTTTTTTTTATATATTATGATATATATTAGATAGGGTTTTATTATTTGATGCATGGTGCACTACGGTGCATCGGTAACACAGATCAAAACAATTTTAATTTTAAACTCAGCTATGAGAAATGACATCATAAAACAAATTATATAAATAAAAAATTATTTTGATTTTAACTTTTTTACTTCTCTTTCCTAAGCCAATAAAATTCGTTAGTATAGTAAATTCGTTAGTATAGTAAACAATAACATGAACGATATCAACTGCAACAAAATAAACATAGAGGAATACTTCGAAGAAGCATGTCATGGTGATGCAGATGTAGGAAAACCTTCTACAAATATTGAGACGGTTATAATAAGAGAAGGGGTAAACAATAACATGAACGATATCGAATACAACGAAATAAGTTCAAATGACACCATGGATGATAATGAAATAAACGTGAAAGAATACTTCGAAGAAGCATGTCATGGTGATGCATATGTGGAAGAACTCTCTATGAATATTGAGACGGTTACAATAAGAGAAGGAAAGTCGTTTCTAGATTTTGATGATGCTGAACAACACATATGACGATATGCTGACTTCAAGGGGTTCAAAATAAGATTGGGTCGTAGTACTATGATTGAAACAGGAGACGGAAAGATTATGAGGAAAAGGACCGTTCTTTGTCGCCACTCTGGTCGATACCAGTCAACAAACCCTACAAAAGCTAGAAAGTCAGTTAAATCAGAATGCCAATGGCATGTAAACCTTTCACGGCCGTTCAAGCAAAACCCAAACAACTACGTCTATGTAACAACATTGAAAGATGAACATAACTATGAGATGTGCCCTGAAGCACTCCAATTTGAAAGGAATAAGGCGTTCACAAAGGAAATGCAAGAAGATGTTGAATTCTATGTGAAACGGTGTCGTTTTGGCGCAACTTTGATTAGGAAAGTTCTAAAAGAAAAATATCCTTCTCATCCTATTTTCTCCAAGGATCTATATAAGGAGATTAGAAAGCATAAACCATCAGTACAAGTTAACGAAGGTGATGCATCAAGACTTTATGAAGAACTATTAGGCAAACAACGTCAAGATCCCAGATGGTTTGTGGAAGTTACATGGGAGGTAGGAACGAATACACTTACCGGGCTTTTTTGGATGAGCCCAGACCAGATTATATCATGGTACGAATTCGGTCAATCGGTCGGGCATGACAATACAGCAAAAACGAATCGTTATCGTATGCCATTGTCACTTTTCGTAGTTCGTGATGATGATATGAGATCTCAAATTGTTGTGCAAGCCCTTTTAAGTGACGAAACTACCGAGTCGTATCAATGGGTTTTGAGTATGACAAAAAAAGCAACAAGGGGGCAAGCACCTGGTGTAATAATTACTGATGGTGACCCTGCCATGGAACGTGCTATAATGATTGAATACCCAACTAGTCATCATCTTACCTGTATATGGCATCTCAAAGAGAATCTTAAGAAAATGCTTCGTGGTAAACTGGGTACAGAGTTTGATGCATTTTATTCAGATTTTTGGAAGTGTCGTAATGGAAATACACCTGAAATTTTTAATCATTATTGGAGTAAATTGATAAAGAAGTATTCAGCGTCGAACTAATATCTAGAAAGATACTTATATGAAAGACGTAGATCTTGGGCAAGAGGATTTATGCCGACATTGTTCACACTGGGGATTGAATCAACTTCATTTGTTGAGAGTGAAAATGCATGCATTAAGTGTGTCCTTGAAAGCAGCAATACGTCTCTTTGCGACCTTGCCAAGGTTCTTTTGGATCGTGTTGAATCTAGAGCTATTGAAAAACAATACGATATGATCAATGTTCCTTTAACTACAAATTGTGTAACAATTTTTCCAACAATAGAAGCAGCTGTTACACACTATCTATGCCCAAAAGTTACACAATTCACAATCAATCAAATGAAAGAATGCGTTTACTACACAGCACAGCATTCTAGTATTGAAGAGATTGAAAATACACCTGAAGTTGAACCATCCGAAAGTGAAAATTTTGAGGATGAACTGGATAGTGTTCTTGCATGTGCACGGCTTCTTTTGCATCAATTGCACTGCATTAATATTGCAGAAATTTGAAAAATTTCTTGAATTACTGGATGCAATGTAAATCATGTAATTTTTTGCCTTGTAAATGGATCATATTATTGTACATGCTTATTGCAACAAAAGTTAGGACTTGTATGTCGGCACTATTTTCATCTCTTGAATATTACAAAGACAGCATGGTTTAGTATGAAGTTAATTAATATTCGATGGATTCCTCGAAATAATCGCAGTAATGCATTGAATGAATGATAATGTGCAAGCAAATTATGATAAATTGCCTCTGCCAAATTGTAATACACATGAGCAAGATGACATGATGATTTCCATACAATAGTACTAAGGAATACTAATACAATAAAAAATATTACAAAGAAAATTCGAACACAAAATTTTCGTAGCACCGATAAAAAATATGGATGCAAATTCTTTTGTAATTTGTAATTTGATATACAGTATGTTTACAATAATTAAATAACTTTTGTGACTCGAATAACATTAATAGATTTTATTTAGCATTATATGATTGTAAAAGAACAGTTGTTTTATGGAAAAGTGTGGGGTTTAGTACGTACTGCAACTGATAAATGCTTACTATATCAGGATCATGAGTTTATTCAAATGATTGAAAATTATTTGGCTGAAATGCATAACCGTGAAAGAGAACTTATCCAAGCAAGCACAGCCAATTTAGAAGATAGCTCTGACGAAGAAAATGCTTTAAAAGATGACTCTGATAAAGAAAGTGTTTTAGAAAATGTCTTGGACAACGAAAATGTATTAGAAGACGAATCTGACAAAGAATATATATTTTCAAGTATTCAGCTCAAAAATCTACTCAAGGTCGCTACTAAGGGTAGGCCAAAATCAGTTAGTCATCGCAAAGATAATGATAAGATAAACAAGCACTTGACACATAATAATGGTAAGCGAAAGCATGGTTCAAATCATAATAATAGTAAGCGAAAGCGTGGTCCTAATCTTTGTAGTTACTGCAAAGAATCAGGTCACAACATTGTTAGATGCCCTAAAAAGTCTATAGATCAACATCAAAATTGAATTGTAATATGTATGCAATAGTTGTTACAAATTTGTATCTGGCTTAATTGAATTAAATTTATTTGCTCTTTTATCTGAATGATACGTACATACGTAAAAATAGGATACAGTTGTAATATATACAGTATAATTTGATTGAAAGATATGCATGTCTTGTACTAATCTTGTTTTTGTTTTGGTTAGGGTTAGGGTTAGATGTCTTGTACTAATCTTGTTTTTTGGTTTGGTTAGGGTTAGGGTTAGGGTAATGATCGAGGTTAGTGGTTAGGGTTAGAGGAGTTTTAGTATAAAATAGTTATTTTTAGTATATATAAATAAATATATAATAAAATGTATATATATACTATGGTCACGTGAGGGGTGCACTGCAATGCATGTGCACTAAAAAATAAAACCCTATTAGATATGAGTTTCTAATTTTAGTTTTTGTGAGAACATTTTTACTTAGAATACCCGATCCAGTTTACTTAGTACGTTTTTGAGAAATAGGGACCTATGGTGTTGAACACCATAGGTGCAGAATAGTAGTGTCGTATTAATTAGTCTATTTTTGTAAATTAGTATTTATGATAAATAAGTTTATTTATCATTATCGTTATTAGATTTTTCAATAATGGGATTTCTGATTAATTAAATTCCTGCAGGAGATAGTGTAGACCAAAAAATTTATCTGAAATTTCATTCTTGTATGTTTGAAATAATTTATTAGGGTGATTCAAGAATTAATGTTCAGGTTTCTGATTTCGAATTAAATAAGTGACGTATTTTATTTTGAAATAAATGATTTATAAATTCTATTTTTTTTTAATTTTTTTTTTTACGTTGATAGTATTTCATCATAAAAAAGATCTATTTCGTTTTCTGAATTCAGAATCTCAAAACAGAAATGGGATTTTTTAAACTTCCACGTATTTTAAAAATAAGTTAATTCTGAATCATCCCATTAGATAAGTTTGGGATTTGAATATTCTAGTAATAAAATTTTTATTGGGTAGGTTAATAGAAAAATTTTTTGTGAAGACAACTTTCTATAATAAATGTTTAAGGTGAGAAAATGTATACAGTACTTGCATAAACAAATCATTCTTAAAAGATTAAATATTATTATTATCATGATTTTAAATTTTGATAACATTATTAATTACTGTAATTGTTATATACATTATTTGGTTATCTGTGTTGTTAAAGTTTTCGGGCTATAGTGAGTGGAGAAAATTGTTACGTATTATGTTAATTCACAAATAAAAAGATAAATATATTTTTTTTTAGCTGAAGGATGCAAAAATTTAAGTACTATAATTAGTGGTGCAGACGTATTCAAAAGTTGCGACCTAAAATACTGGATAATGTGTGCATATGTAAATGTCATTTTAACAAGAAAGGTATTCTATCATTAATGTTATCACTTTTGAGTAAAAAAAAAAATCGCGAAACTTGAATATTGGTGACATAATAGGATAAAAATACTCCTGTAAATACAGAAATAATACTCCAAAAAAAATAACTTTACAACAACGTTTTCATACTGAGTCCTTTAAAATTTTGAAAAAAAAAGTTTGGTATAATATGAATTTTGCCGACTAGAATTGCAAATTTTGATATTGCAATAATAAATAAAAAAGTAATATTTTTTTCAGAAAGTTACAATGTTTCGATAGAATAATATGAAGCAATTGTTGATCTGAATCCTTTTAGATCCTTTTAGAAACGGTCGTTTATCTTCTTGACCGCCTTCCATATTTTGTGATCTATGTCTAAAGGAACCCAATTTTCTTTTTTGATTGGTAAATCGACAAAGAAAATTGGCTTCCTTCATAAGAATATTTCGGTATCTTATTGCTTGTTCTTTGACTTTATCTATATTTTCAACTACTGTATTTTCGATAATAACACTCATGAACGTTATAATCGGGCCTCTAGAAATATATTATAGTTTCGAAATAACACCCATGCGCGTCCCAAAATAGCGCTCACCCAATAGTAAAGGATATTTATTTATAGTAAGATTTAAAAAATACTCTGGAACTGGATTTAGTACTAGGTAAACCTTCGAGCTTTAACAAAAGTTATTCTGAAGAACAATTTTTGTTAAGGTTCGAAGGAAGATTTACTTAGTTCCGAAGCATTTTTGCTTGTTTACCTTTTATACAAGAAGTACCTAAAATTTTTTATTTGTCTCGAAATAACGCTCATGCGCGCATACTCGAAATAACGCGCAAATGAGCGTTATTATGCAACAACTGCAAGAATTCTATAATGATCCTCACGTTGACATTCGTTGACATTCGTTGACATTCGTTAACATTCGAAATCGTAAAGATTTTTGAATCCTGGAAGCCATTTATCAATTTCTTAACCAATTGTTTTTATTTTCAATTTTTAGATTTTTTTGGATATTTTCCATAACAGTATCAACTTAATTATGATCAATGTAATGTAACACCATCAAGAATAACGTAAAAAATTGACCATATAATGGTAATTCTTTTATAAAAAACTTAAAGCTTGTCGTAAATTTAATAAACAATAAGAAATGCATTGATTATCACGTGTACGGACAACTCCCCTACACGCCGTCTCTTTATTTACATTCACTGATATTTCTTCATAATTTGTGCTCAGATAATGTATGTTATCGAAATCTATTCGTAAAATTTATCGTCACCTATTAAGATATTTCAGTAAAAAAAATGTAAATGAATAAACCGTAAAAATTGGTTATATTTACACATAGTTCATTCCTTATTCTCCACATTCTTAATGTCAAAGTGTTCTATTAATATACCCTCAAAGTACACGTACAATCTATATATATCTGATATATCTGATTATTTTTCTCTAAATTTATAATTCATCCTTGCATATATCTACAGTACGTACGTATTTTGAGTGAATTAGATTGAACGTTATTGGAACAACGTCAAACACGAATGATCCAACCTTTATTCGTTATTTTCTTAATATTGTAAAGAAAATGGTTTGTTGGTAATATATATTTTTTAAAAAGTTTGAAATTTTTAATTGGTTCAAAGCCATTATTAATAATTTATCTTTTTAGGAATTCACTCAAAAAGTCCGCATTAAATGTAGCTTATTGCATCACGTCAACGTCCTAATTCTAAATTCACGCACTTAGTTTTTGTTTATATTAAATTTCTTTTTTTTTTTTACTCATGCAAATTTACCCGTGCAAATAAATTTGAACTATTGCCGTGGCAACAGAGAATTATGATTTATACAAATGGACGAAAATTATGAATCAGAAATTCTTGTTATCTTGTTTTCATGTTCTTTTCATTGCTCGAATACAATCTTGCTTTTAGTGTTAGTATTAGACACATACATAACATTGCTCATTGTAAATGTGTAACAAACGGGAATACGCCACATCACAACGTGGACCGCGCTTATAAAGAAATATAATAATATCGTATAATCACAAATGAGAGGGATGGACCTAATTTTAACTGCTTTGTTTATTATAACGCACTCCAAAAAATATCAAAATAACGCGCAGATAAAATCTCGTATGATATCAGATATATCGTATTTTAAAATTCGTGGCTTCAGGCATGTGCAGGTAATGGGGATCACAACATTTTTAATTTTGTTTGTGGAGTAATGTTCTGACAAAATTTCATTATAAAATTGACAAAAATGGGCCTACAATGGATTTGCATTTTCATCGATAAAACGTATGTATGTAATAAAAATCCAGTTTACCAATAATACCAATACAAAATGTTTATTCTCACAAAGATTTCTTTATTTCACAATTATCTTAAAAGCGAGAATAATCGTCAATTTATTCACATAAGACGGAGCATTTTGTTCCGGTGTACATATAATACATATTTCATTGCGGATATGTAAAGTGTAACATTATGAATCTTGGCTTGGTTATTATCGTTATCGATATCGAAAATATATATATATGTAAGCTTTAAAGATTAAATCATGACAGAACTAATCAATTAAAACTCTTTCTTTTCTTAAAGGAAAGAGGACGACAATTAATATATCCCAACCAATTTTTTTAATATATATATTTTCTTCACCTTTGTTGTGTAAAGAAACCTTTTTTAACGGTATACTAGTTTTATTAGTTGTATTATACCTTGTAAAAAATTGATTTAAAAGTTTTTTAAATTATAATCTGCTCAAAGTATAAAAATGCAACAACAAACTTACAACGGATTGCCACCAACCTATACTGAGAGTCGCGCAGAGCGCAAAACCTCTGATGGTTCTGAATCCTGTGGTTGGGAATATAATAGTCGTATATATAATGGATATAATGGATATAATGCCAAGGTTAGCGAATGCGATCTCAAGGTTCGAATGGGTAAGAATTATGCTTTTTTTTTGTATAGTAAACATTCGATTGAGAATTAATCGATCAATATTATTATTATTATTATTATTATTATTATTATTAGCATTCGTGCGCAAAGTTTATTCAATTTTGTTTGCACAACTCTCCCTATCAGCCTCGGTTGCCGCATTGATGATGTATAATAGTAGTGTCAAATATTGGGTTCAATCACAGTATGAAATTTTCTATTAAATCAATTAAATCAATATACATATATATAGTATATATAATTTTTAAAAAAAATACTAACATGCAAATTCCAATGATACTTATTCTCTTATTCTAGTGGTTGGGCCATTTATGTTGCTTCTGCTTTGACATTCATTCTTTTATTCGCTCTTCAAATAAATCATCGATCGTATCCTAATAATTATCTTCTGCTTGCTGCTTTCACGATCGCTGAAAGTTACACAATTGGAACCGTTGGTTAGTATTAAAAACTATATAGCACTAGCTCTAATAATTGATTGCTTTACTAAAATTTTAATAATCTAACTATATAATTTAATATTTTTTTAAAGTAACCTATTACAATTATTTTGTTGTGCTAAGATCCTTAGTTGTCACATCTGGCCTTTTTATTGGTATTGTATTGTATACAATGCAATCTAAATATGATTTCTATGGATTGTATCCTCTGTAAGTTTTTTAATTACAGCAATTAATCATCTCATTTATTTAATAAACCCGTCTTTTTTTTTACAAGTTTTTCTAACATGACACATTTTATTTAAATCAGTCTCTATGATGGTCTTTTGTTTGTTCTGGGAATAACTATTACCGGAATCTATATGCCATTCGGTGGCGTTTTTGATTTTATTTTTACCATACTTACCATTGCTCTATTTTGTGGTTTCGTTGCTTTCGATACTTTTGTTATCTTGACAACAAAACATCCTGAAGATTATATTCTCGCCGCCGTTGAGCTTTATTTAGATTTTATTAACATATTTCTCAGAATTCTCAAGGTTTTAAACAACAATTCCCGTAAAGATTAAATATATATATCTCGATATTGTAGAATATTGATTACCTATATACGATCTTGTATAAAAAATTTTTTTTGTTCTTTTTTTTTTTTTGTTATTTGTATGTTATTATCATTGTCTGGACTGATCTCCTAAAGACTGTGACTATGATCTAATTATAATAAATTATTATAATTTATAAGTCTTATATATTAAATTTTTTTATAAATTTATGATATTGTATTCAGAAATTTGTAGCGGCAAATCTGTGCATAATTCTGCTCAGAATATTTGTCAGTTTTGGCTGCTTGAGCATAAAAGCAAAATAATAAATTAATTACTATAATAGGTATAATTCATTTTGTAATTAGCCTGGTCCACTTGCTTTATGATTGACCGTTCATCCACCCCTCGAGTAATTTTGATAATGAAATTGAATTAAAAATGAAATTTGAGATTTTTATTTAACCTACCTGTTTTACACTATATAAAATTTTATTTTAATCGGATTTCATTATAATCTTCATCTCATCGAAAAAAAACTCTAATGAGTGCTTCTTTGCCAACTATAATTAGTATAATATGAATGTTTACATGTTTGAACAATTGATTGTTGATAAGAATCCGTGAATTGTTTTTGAATTGGTTGTTTACCTTTTTAACCACCTTCATATTTTGTGATCTACGTCTTCTAAAGGAAACCAACCATTTTTTTTTTCATTCTTAATAAATCGATAATATACGTATACAGCAATAGCTGTACTGCTTCCTTCCATAAGGATATTTCGATATTTTTTTTTCGGTTGTTCTTCAGGTGTATTTATATTTTTACATAACTACACTAGAATATATCCACTTCTCTTCGTTTCAATAGCCACGAAAAAATTCCATAATTGTTTGCAACAATCAAATTCTTTAGGTTGATGTTCGAAATCATAAAGATACTCGAACCCTGAAAGCCATTTATTCTTGATTTTCATCTCGCATTACTGCTTCTTCCTTTTTATCTTTAATATGTAGATATTTTAGATATTCAATCTTCCAATCATAGATTTAATCAATTAAATATAACCGATTAACCAGATTTAACTAGGTATAATATAACCGATTTATATTCGGTTGTAATTTTCAAAAGTTAATAAAACCAGTTAATGAAAATAAAACTGGTTCCAAAAAGATATGTGCAAGGCCTTACCTTAATATCAATAAATAAATAAATAAATAAATATTTCTTGTACTTCTATTTTCTAAAAGCTATCAGAATTAATAAATATATGCTAAGAAGACTATAGCCAAATATTACTTTGTAAGAAGTTTTTTTTATAAGTACTATATTGGGTAGTATTGTAGAAATCAGATTTTAATAAATAATTTTTTTGATTAATGTTTTTGTAGTTGTATTTCTTTATTCTTATAAATTTATATTCAACTATTTGATTTAGATATTTGATTTACTATTAGAATATTAAATACCTTACTTAAATAGCTATATTAAATTTTTTTTTTGTTATTAAGATAAGGCCTTGCTTATATCTTTATTTGACAATTTTTTTAGATAATTATAATAAAAACCTAATTTGTACAAGATAAATAAACATAAATTATATATAAAAATAAAGCTCAGACTAAAAGGTTAAACTAAAGATAAACTAAAGACTTAAACTAATTATCTGTAACCTAAATCTACTAAAGTAGTTAAGATTCATTTAGATTTTAATAGTTAGTATATAATTTATAGACATATTATATTAAAACCATACTTTGAACTATTAATCAATTTTTATTAGACTTGTCTTTTAGAAAAGCATTTGTCATTGTTTGTTTAAAGTTGATTAGGCAGATTACAGAAGCAATTACAGGTAAATTTTTTTTACAATTGGCAGGTTTGGTATTGGCCTGTTTTAATATAAAGAGATTTTGATTGTATATTAATATTTTGTATTGTTTTTTTTCATTTGCAAATCTGTTATAATATAGTTTTTAGATTTGCTTATATATTTTAGAAATATATATAATATTAGCCACAATATCTCTTTGTATTATATATTTAGTATTGATAATACTTGTAGAAAATAGAAGATAATAAAACCTTTAGAGTAATTGGCAATAAGGAGGCATCCATATATAATGTTATGTACCCCTACATAGTAGCCCTTGACCCCTAGACTATATAAAAAATTTTTAAAAATCCATATATTTATATATATAATTTTACAAAAACTTGGATATATTATG